ACAAAATATGAATTGCTGCAATCTATTTAAAGGGGTGGCTGATTGTGATTTCACTTTTTTAGCTTTAGTTAGTGTGTAATGTTGCTGTTTGAGCATTAACAATATCTGCAAAGTTACGACGCGTTCAATGCAAACGGAGATATCGTCTTTTAAAATCATGGCAGTTTAATGCCTACAAAAACGGATGGTAGGGACTACAACAAGCTTATTCCTGGGTTGGTGACATCACAAACCCAGAAATTTACATAAACTCCGCCCCCAGGAACATGCAGCAAAGGGGGCGGGGCCATGCTGCGCTGCTTTAGAGAAGAGGAAGAGTTGTTGCCATGCCGTCAAAGCTAGAGGTGCACAAGAAAATCTATTCATATATGAATCCCAATTCTGTCTTCTAACGATTCTAATGGATTCACAAGTTTCAAAATCAATGTTTTAAAACAGCGGTGCGCCATTGTTTACAATACAACTCCATTCATTACAATACAAGTTCGAGGGGGAGATGGCAAACTCAGAAAAGGACGTTTTAATTTGTTCAGATTCAATGGCATCACTTTCAAGCTTGGGAACCTTTCAGTCATGTAGAAAAGATATACTGATAGAAATACTGAATTTGTTATATAGAATAAGTCAAATGGGAAGTGTAGTGCAGTTTTTATGGGCATGTAGGGATACAAGGGAATGAAACGGCAGACAAAATGGCTAAAGAAGCACTGAAAATGGATAATATTATGGCGGAAATACTGGAACTCATGTGAAAAAGGAAGACATTTTATAGAATGCAAAGTAAAATAAATAAAACAAGGTCAAATGAATCATCATATAAATAGGAAGGACTTTATTATATTTACAAGATAAAGAATGGGTCATACTTATCTTAATGCAACACTTCATATAATCGGCAAATAATCAGCATATAAATTATGTGGAAAATAATGTTTTCTGGGGGGTTTTTTTAAAGACTGCACGCCATAAACACAATCAAGCCTAAAAAAAACAGTTAACCATCTCTTTAAAACTGTTTAATTAATTTGAAGTAATTATTTTTCAACTGTTGGTTTGAATGAATGATTCAATGACTCACTCGTAAATACTTCACTTGTTTCATTACTGGATGAATCAGCGGTTTTGAACAAATCTCTTGAATAAATGACTCAATGACAAATACATCTTTTTTAACAGTCTCTTATCAACACAAATATTATTTCAAGCACCAAGTACTTTCACAAGGTGATTTGCTCCATTTTGATCGATTCCATAGACATCGGTGTATATATATCCATAAATGTACTTCTGTGATAATATGAATGATTGTAAGACAGATATAATACTGTGGATGAAAAAACTAAACATGATCTGCGCAAACACAGAACTGAATGTTCCAGTATGACTCTCTCTAAGGTTTAATAGACACAGATGAATTGTTGTCATTTAGAAATAAGATTGTGTGGGTGTTTGAATCAATATCGCAATCTTTTAACTATTAACTCTACCTCACACACTCACACACACACTCACTCACTCACACACACACTCACTCCCTCACTCACACACACACACACACACACTCACACGCACACACACACACACAAAAACTGTGGTGGTTTATACTGCAATTATTCACTTATAGAATAATAATAAATAGAAATTTAAATGCAATAGGCCTGTTAATTTTAAATCACCTACTTCAAATGCAAAATGCAGTCCTAAGGAGTATTCTGATGACCATGACCAATATCAATATAAGTCATGCTAACACAGCAGTATCTGATTTGATAACATCCACAAGAGATTCCCGCTCTAACCCTCATCTAAATGTAGTATTCCCCATCCATGTTAAACAGCTTCCCTCACCCATCTTTACAGCCTGTTCTATAATTCATCCAAAATGCCGTGACCTTGACTGATTATCACTCGGCTTGCAACATTTCTTGGCCCACTGGCTGTTGACTTGAGAAGAATTTAAAAACCCCTCTTCCGTATTCTGCGGATTTGACTGCCAGGGTTAGTCAGCAGTGGCTAATGGAGCCGGATCAGACGCCAAACGCCTTCCTCTCACTGCTCTCTACAGGAACAAGGCAAATCTGACAACACATAGAACACCACTGACCTTCGCTTGCATCAAAAAAAGTAACAGTAATCATTTGATTAAATGTTGGCATGGTTTTTATTTCATTCAATCAGAAAATGATGATTCATGATAGACAACATGACTGCGTGAATTCTGCTTAAGTTTGGCCATAATTCTGTCACATTGATCAATGTCAGCATGCTCTGTCAATCAACAGCATTGCAAACTACAGCTGAAAAACCTCAAGCTAATAAGTCGCCAAGGTCATTCTGGTGATGTACAGCAGGTTTGCGCCACCAAGTGGATAAAAGTAGTAGTGCTGCTATCTTTACAGAAATGTGACAGTAATACTGTTTGCTATTAAATTACTTAAAAGGTGTGATAAGCGTTGGACAAGACTGCACAGCCTGCTATTGAACTATAACTATATTGTATTACACTTACTGATGTTGGTTTGAAAGATAAACATAAAATATACATGCATATAAAAATACAAAGAAGATATTGTTAGTGTTATTTGTGCACTACGGAATAAAACAGCATCAATGGCCCTTCATCACTCGCTGCTGTAAATCTTAAGAATCACTAGATGGCACTGTAGTTGTGTTTTAACACTTTACACTCCTCTTTAAATGCAAATGAGAGTTTCATTAATTATTTAAATGTATGTAAACACATAAATGCAAACTCACATATTCCCACAAGTGAAAGAAAGAAAGAAAGAAAGAAAGAAAGAAAGAAAGAAAGAAAGAAAGAAAGAAAGAAAGAAAGAAAGAAAGAAAGAAAGAAAGAAAGAAAGAAAGAAAGAAAGAAAGAAAGAAAGAAAGAAAGAAAGAAAGAAAGAAAGAAAGAAAGAAAGAAAGAAAGAAAGAAAGAAAGAAAGAAAGAAAGAAAGAAAGAAAGAAAGAAAGAAAGAAAGAAAGAAAGAAAGAAAGAAAGAAAGAAAGAAAGAAAGAAAGAAAGAAAGAAAGAAAGAAAGAAAGCACAAGTGAAAGAAAGAAAGAAAGAAAGAAAGAAAGAAAGAAAGAAAGAAAGAAAGAAAGAAAGAAAGAAAGAAAGAAAGAAAGAAGGCTGACCAGGGGCCGGCTGCATAAAAGGTTAAGACTAGTCTTAAAAGTTAGTCAGATAATTTTTTTCTTTAAGACTGGTCATATTTTTTTTGTTTCAGTAACATAAAAATGTAGATTAGTTTAAGTTGAATCCAAAAACTAAGACTGATTGCCCTTTGGCTTACTGCTAGTTAGTCAGACTTGTTCTTAAGATACTGTCTTAACATAGAGGCTAAGTTTATGCAACTGGCCCCAGAACATACTTTTTTTATTTCAACAGAGGAAAAAAGATCAAACATCTGGAGGGTGAGTAAATGATGACAGCATTTTCATTTTTGGGTGAACTGTCCCTTTAAGTAAAGTTTTAGATAATTGCTCATAGTTATTATTGATTATTTCACTGTATTGTTCTTGTCACCGGTTGCAGTTCAAGCTACTCTAACTTCCAATTAAATCAGGGTTGCCAACTCTCACACATTTGCTTTCAGGCTCCGTCTCACGCTGCTCAACTAAATCTATCACCAAATAACGAGACGATGCAAAATATATAAAGAAATAAACCTGCCCATGGGACTTGTTGTTTGGTCTAACACAGATATTCTTGGTTTGATCTAAAGCGCCAAGATTCTGCTCCAATCAATTTTCTTCACAAGGTGACCAGTGTTGGGGAACGTTACTTCTAAAAGTAATACATTACAGTATTGTGTTACATTACAGTATTGTGATACTCCATAAAAAAGTAACTAATTGCATTACTTAGTTACTTTTTATGGAAAGTAATGCATTACATTACTTTTGCGTTACTTTTTGTCACCTTTTGTTTTTTAATTACAAAAAACTCATTCATTGTAAATTTAAAAGTAATGTGTTACTTTACTAGTTACTTGAAAAAGTAATCTGATTATGTAACTTGTGTTACTTGTAATGCGTTACCCCCAACACTGAAGGTGAAGCACTGAAGCTAGCGGTCAACAGCACTGGACAGAGAACAAAGAAATGCCAGTGAGTACTGTACAGTTCAGGGAAATGTTCTAGGCCTATTTGGCTGGTGAATTTTATAGTGTGACATGCCAGGCAGGTGATAATTGTATTGTAGATTAGTTGAACCTCTGTCATTAGCATCACTTACAATAGTGTAAAGCACATTTGTATAATAAATGTAATATGTTCTCTGTCTTGTGTTGGACGTTTATGATAATAATCTTGATTTTTTTTTTGGCTCCATTTCCTATACTGTACCTTATTGCACTTTACATTCACCTTACAGAAACAAAAAGGCAAAATACTTTTATGTCTTATCAGGTATCCTGTTTTGTTACTAATGTGTCTGCATGGGAGAGAAATGAAAAGGGCAAATTCACACTGTGTAAAAATGTTGTTGTGTCTTATCAGATTAAATGAAGAGTCGAACTGTCAGCTGATGTCTGTCTGGTTATTCCATCAAAGCAAATACAACGCGGACAACACCAGGGGCCCGTTTCAAAAAGGAGGTTAAGTGAAAACTCTGAGTTTGTAAACCCTGAAATGAGGCAAACTCTGGATTTTGCGTTTCAGAATGGGAGGTTTGTCAAACCCGAGAAAGCAGGGTAAGTCAACTCAGAGTTGGTTGAACCTCCTTATTGAAACGGGCCCCAGTTACACAAGTGTTAGAGGGTCAAGTGTTTTTTTAAAGATGTCATATGATGTGATTTCAATTGTTCCTTTCTCTTTGGAGTGTTACAAGCTGTGCACAGCATCAGGTAATGAGACAATACCTCACGAAAACAAACACAAAGCACTCGTCTGCACTGTAGAAGCACATTCAAGCTGCTCTAATCCCTTTGGCTAGAGTTGCTGACACTGGCTAACGCTTTAGAATAGGCTCTCTCTCATGATGTGTGAAGGCCATGCATCTTACCAACCAGTCCATGTTCAGCAGCACCACTGTGCTGAGCTATTAAGAAAACAATCCAAAATATACCACTAACCCATATCGCTGAGAGGAAAAGGTATGCATTTTTTATATATCGAATGGTTAAAGTTTCAGTTCAGAACATGATGTTTAGAAATGTATTAGTCTAAAAAACTGCAGTATGCATTCTGAAAAGATAATGCAACAAAAAATGTTTGAATTTATTTTCTTCGATTTGTGCTATAACCATCCATTGAAACAGATCTGTTTACATATTATTATTATTCAGGTCTGGTTATAAGCTCCCTGTCTAAAGTTATGCCAAGCATGCATGAAAAAAAACTGTTAAATACCTTTTGGAAGTTCCTCAATTTTTGCTTTATGTCGCAGGGCAAAGCGGGTGATCTGGCAGGTTTTGCTGATGACAATGATGGAGCAGGGCTGCCTTTGTTCACATTTGTTGATGAAAACATTTTCAAAAAGGAGACTTTCTTGGGTAAGAAATAAGCTAATATGTAACATTTTGTTTATTTAAAAGTAGACAGTGGAAGACGTTTCCCTTTCCTTTCCTGAAAGAAAGTAAGAGTCCAAAGCAAATCTGGGTTTTAAACCGTGTTCTTGCCCCTTCCACACATAACTGACAAAGCGACATCATCCCATTCGTTTTTAATGAGAGCTTGAGACTTTTGGTGAAAAGTTTAACTTCAAATGTGATGGCACACACTTTCAAACTTTCAGAGTTTTTCAAAACTCTAAATCAACTGAATTAATTGCTTTGCAAAATTATTCACTGTTTTGATGTGCTCAAAACACAGTAAGTTTTTTTTTTTTTTTTTGCAAGGCTTGTTTTGTGTGTTTTATGGAGGACTTGGCTATTCAGTCCAGTAAGAGACAATTAATTGGGGTCATGACATGGATTTTTTATTTTATTTTAATATGCTCCTTGAGGTTTACTTATAATGCTAATAGCGGTTTTTTACACACACACACACACAAATAAATAAATATGTGGGAAAATTATAATTTTCAACCCTCATTCTGACCCTCTATCTGAAACCAGGGCTGCGTTCAGCCCCGACAAAAACGGTGCAAAACGATTTTTAAACGGAAACGGTGGTGCGTTGAACACTGTTCTGATGACGCAAGAGTTGCAGCTACGGCAGCTGAGAAGGCCAGTCTTTGTGTTCTTGTAGAAGAACTTTCGGAGCCTGATGAAATCGGTATAAATACGTGTTTAATACTGCAAAATACGCTCGATGGTACAGTCACTACCCTTGCCGTCTAGAATAAAAGAGCACATCCCAATCAAATGAAGGGGTTTGTGCAAACTGTGGTTCCTAATTATTGTGATCCAACATTTGCCTCGCATTTCAGGATGAAAAGACAAACATTTCAGGTGAAGCATAATCCACTTCTTACCTCCGAGACTGTGTTATGATCTATATGACCTTATTATTTTTATTGTGAGTATTAGGCTTATCATTATTGCTGATCACTGTTGTTGTGCTATGATATTGTAATATTTACCATTATATAATCAGAGGGGTATAGACAAGTTTATGAAAGTGTCACTCCACAATACAATAGCAAAATATATAAATATAGTATTTTTATGTTACATTAATCAGTGTCTAGCACACCTTCCTGAGGAAAGGATATGGATCAGAAGACATTGCAATTACTAAATGATATTTAGACAAACTTTAAGAAGTTCCAGATCTATACTTGTGC